GTCATTGAAATACTTAAAGTAAGCCTTAGGCATTTTTAATAAGGTTTTTTAGTCAATGCCTTTCGTTAAGTAAACTCTCAATCTGAATTCAGTGCTTTTGAAAGTGTTAACAACATGGAAGCCTCCAACCCTACCCACAAAAGGAATACAGTTTGTCATGGCACAACAGCACCACCTCCAAAGGACACGGTACTTGGCTGACCTGCTCCTAGGTGGAATTTGAGTGTTGGTTATAACAGATAAGCTTCCACCTAGCCAGGCTGAGGGATCAAACCTTTCTCCCAAGTTATCCTAACCAGCGAAGCAAATCTGTCATATGCAGCCCTAAGCACAGACTAGCTCAATCTTTTTTTTTTTTTTTTTTCTTAAAAAGCTAGCAGAAAAGAAGGGAACTCTGTGTGAAAGGATGTGCCTTCCCTACCTTGCTCTTAATACAGACTGAATTTGGTTCCTTCCTGGTGGCTTTTGTCAAAGTTATCTTCATGGAAGGAGCTCAGAGGTGGCTGGTGGATGATGGAGTGTCCAAATGGCAAAGCAGCTAGATAGCTGATTGGGTTCCTGTGAGACCAGTGATCTTAATTCTGCTGAGGATTAACATAATTGTATTTATTATATAATGAATTATGTTGGATGCGTAGAACCATTGATAGTTGTCTTGCAATATTTTGCAGCTGAATGAAAAACAAACGTAGTATTCTTGTTTAACTAGCACAGTTGTAAATGTGGGCACAATTCTAACCTAAATCTGTAGCACAGCACACCTGCAAACACACCCGTGCAGCTTGGGAATGCTGATTCGTCTCCCCTTTGCTCTGAAGCTTCAAGTCTCTTACAATGCTGTGATTTCACTGATTTTCCAGTTGTCATAATTTGCCTTGAGAAACCAACCCCATATCCCCGACAGAAAAGTGTATTACAATTATTATCATACACCTTTCCTTCATTCCATATACCTCACTTTGTACCCAGAGCACACAAATGGGCTCGAGACTTCTTTATTCCTTCTTCCCCGGCTCTTGGATGCTCTCTTTAAAATAAATCTCCTAAAGCAAACTGTGTTACTTTCATTCTCCCTCTGTTCTAGCCGGCTGCCTGTAACCACTGTCCCACAGTGCAGGTCAGTGGGAAAACCCTTGGGAAAGATCTTGTCCTTCCTTTGGGGATTGCCTTCTACTAACACTGCCCCATCCTCCTCAAAGTCTTTTCAGCCCAGTTACTGCAGACTTCACCCCAAAGCAGGCAACGGCTCCCATTCATCCAGCTTCTGCTGCTACATTTTCTTTCTCACCTGCTCTTCTCCCCTTTGCCTTAAAAAGAAAAACTATGCCTGCGTCACCCATCTTGTCCACTGAGTATTTCTGCCTTCTGGTGCTCCTCTCTTCTGTCCACATCAGATTTAATTTGCTCTCACAATGAATTTCAACCTCTAAACTCTTCCTAAATTGTTTTCTGTACCGTTTTGACCTTAATTCTGGACTGGGTACCACCTAGGGGTAGGGGCTGGAAAGCAGTTCCCCACTGGAAAATCCCTGATCTTGGTGGATGTTGAGGAAGTGGTTGGAGAAAACTTCTTTTTGCCTGTTCTTGCTGCCAGCTCAGCCTGAACACCCTTCTGGTATGTCTCAAGAAACTACAGCAAGATCCCAAATTATTGTTTTTTAAGCCCATAAGATCTCCAAAAGCCTATCTGGTTCTCCAACTTGGAGTCCAGCCATTTCCGCTCATGCTGGTGTATCCTTTGCACATATTTTCATGTTGTGTATCTCTCCCATCTGACTTCTCTTTCCAATTATTTTATCCTGCTCTATGAAACTTAGCTCCATGAGCCTTCAGACACTTCTCACCATATGCTTTTTCTAGTAAATACTCAACCTTTAGAATGGAAGCTCTATGGGTCAGGGATTTGTTTCTCTGCTGATATTTTATATTTACTGTAAAATCCGCATTAGCTGGCTGCACTGCATAAATGCTAATAACAATTCTAAAAAAGCTTTCTGAACTTTATACGATTATCTCTGAAGTTAGTCTTTTCCCAGGGAGACATTTGGTTTCGTTTTTCACAACATAAAATACCACTAAAATCCCTACAAACAATGATTTTAATATCTATACTTCAGCTCTGATTTCAACTGAAACAGGAAAAATAGAAATTTATTTTCAATGTGTAATAAGTGCATAGCAGTGCCCTTAAGTACGGTGGTGCCACATGCTGCCAGTTAAATGGGACACCCTTCCCAGCTTCGCTCACCTCCCAGGTATAACCAATGCCCCAAGAAGAGCTTGCAGCCTCCAATCTGGATCATTCCTTGCTGATTTCTTTTTCTCTTTCCTCTTACTACTCTTCTTTCTCTCAGGTATTTTTCTGTACAACCAAAGCATCAAATGGACTTACAACTCTCAGTGGAGCAGGTGGCTGCAGAAGTTGCCGTTCTCACTCTAAAGCTTTCTAAACTCTTGATCATCATGTTTTGTTCTTGTCCTCCTGCAAGAAGAAAAGGTCATGTAGCAATACTGCCCTGAAAGTGCTGCAAGTGGGTGTCCCTTTCTTCTAAGATTTTAATTAACTTTAAAAAGAAACCGTAGGTCTGAGCAGTAAGCTACAAGTTAGGAGAATAAAAGTACACATTGTAATGCAGTATCAATAAGTGGTTGCTAAAGTGTTACCATTGGTAAAGTGCAAAAAAAGTCTTTGAAATACAAAAGTCCTGGGGCTTGTTTGGAGTTGTGTATTTTAATCTACTGCAATCAAGCTAGCTCAAGTGGTCTTCAATTTAGCGGGTAGCTTCTGAATACGGTACTGATTTAACTGTGTTTTAGAAATATTTTCCAACACATTTTCATAATTGCATCATAAAATAAATCTACTCCTGCAAGGCAAACGAGCTCTCTACAGAAACCAAGGCAGCTTCCTTGGCTCTCCAGAGCTGAGGCTCGTTCCATGTGTATCTCAAGGGACTTTGGGCATGAGAGTCCCAGGAGCTGCTTTTGGGCTGGAGCACAGCCGCGTCTCTTGGGTTTTGCAGCTGACAGTAAGTTTTGTGCATTTCCATTCTATTGTAAAAAATGTGACTTTCATAGTATTTCACGACTTATTGAGTCTTAGACCACCAAGGTGAAGTTACCATGGAAAT